CACAAGAGAGAGCTGTGTGCCAGATGGCACCAAAGGCAGATGAGCAGCCCTGAAAAGGGCTCAGCAAATCCTCCCACTAGAGGTGCTAGTCTTCCTTGAATACCCAGGCTTAAGTTAATATAGGAAGCAAAGGGGTACCAAAAAGAAGCCTCACCTATACCACTACAGTCCTGATAAAAAATTTTATAACTAAGCTTGACAAACATTATCTCATACGGCCCTCACAACTACCCTGTGAAATAGCTACTACTACTATTACTCTCTCCACTTTACAGGTGATAAAATTGAGACTCCAAAAAGTTACAAGCACACAAAATCCATACCCAAGTCTCTCCCACCAGCCTTCTTTCCACAAGGGGAGCAAAACTTTTGGTTCAGAGCTACCCTAGGAAGGGTTAGAACTAATGACTTTATTAGGGCTGGCAAGCTTCAGCTTGGACAGTACACTGGACAAACCAACCTAGGGTCCAAGTTAGCCAATGAGTTACAACTCAATCTCAAGAAGAATAAACACAGGGTTTACTCTCCCTGACCATCATCCTTTTTAATGGGCAAAGATTGGGAGGACAATAAGAAACTGAAGAGGAAGGGAAAAAGATCAATTTCTCCCTCTATCAAAGGAGAGGAAAGGGTCAAATACCCCCTTCTCTTCCTGGGGGAGACGGCAAGTGGTGTTGCCTCTATCCAAAAGTTTCTACACAGATCCAGAAAGTGTGCTGACAGACTTAACCAGGGAAGGACAGTCGTTCTTACTTTGATGTGAATTAGTGAGCAGATTGTTTTCTGTATAACATGAAGTTGTAACTGATGCTGTATGCTTAGAGAAACGGGAGTTTTTATTCTGGGGTGAAAGGAGAGGGGAGATAGAATGAGGTTGAAAGACTATGGGCAGCATAGTACCTACTACCCGTGTGACCTTAACCAAGTCACAAACACTTGGGCCTAAGTTTTCTCATATGTAAAAATGAGAGTTGAACTAAGACCCACCCAGCTCTAGATATCTATGATCATATAATGGTAAGGAGCTAGGCAATGTCAGGTGACAAAAGTAGCATGGGGCTCATTGAGATGATATGTACAACTTTTTTTTGAAGGACCTCCTCCTCTTCTTATATTGGAAATAGGAGGAGCACTTCCAATTAAAGGCAAATTGCATTTAACTCCTTAGCTACCTTTCATTGTGCCACCAGCTTACCTGAGAAGCTTCAACCTTCTCCATGCCTCCCCTGTCACTGTGAACTGGCTTTGGGATGACCCAGACATCCCAAGACAAATAATATTCTGAAATATAGATCTTCTCATCCTCCAACTCCATTCATTTTTAAAGTTCCAGAACGCTTTCTCCCAAACTCAGAAAATTATGACTAGGTCAGTTTTCTCTCAGATTATATCCTCTTGCACTAGCCATTCCCTTCTTTCCCCCTTATCTGGACTCCCTGGTCAACCAATTCAACTCTACATTGTCCTCTCTTGAATCTCTTTTCTCCCCTACCCCCCCATCATATCATTATATTGCTCATTAACCCAGTCAAGCCTCAATCTTGGATCACTCTCATCATTTGCCACCTCTGTTCCTACATACGAGTTACTGAATGAAGGAAGATGGAAAAAAATCATGCAGCAGTTCTGAATGGGTCCACTACAAATTTATATTACGTAAGCTCAACTGGGTCTTCACTGCTCCTAGGCAATCCTACTATATATACACCTCTTATCAACTCACTATCCCACTCTCTACAGCTGTCCTTCCAAATCTTTTCATCTCTTTTCCAAGCTCCCATGGCTCTCCCCCTCCTCCCACTCTCTCAACTGAGAACCTTGCTTATTTTACCAAAAAAAAAAAACAAAAAACATTCACTGTGAGCTCCCTGTCCCCCTTTTCAGATGCCTCTTCTGCCACTCTTTCCTCCTTCACCTCATTTCACATGAAGTGGCCTTACTCCTTACCTACTAATGCCCTATTTGTGTTCAAGTGATCCCATTCTATCTCATCTCCACCAACAGATTGCCCCCTCTGTCATCCCCACTCTTTCATTTACTTTCAATCTCTCCTTTTCTACTGGCTCATTTACTCCTGTTAACAAACATGTCCACTTCTCCTCCGTTCTGAAAAAACCCTCACTTGATGCTTCCATCTCTGACACTGTCCTATTATCTCTTCTGCCATTTGGAGCTGAACTAAAGACCATCTACACTAGGTGCCTCAACTTTCTCTCTTAACCCCTTATCCAAACTCACAATTCCACTGAAACTGCTCTCTCCAAATCCCATGGCTTTTTATTCATCTTCATTCTACTTGACATCTCTGCAGTCTTTGAAGCTGTTGATCACTCTCTCCTCCTTGACAATGCTCTGTTCTCTAGGTTTTCAGGACATCACTCTTTCCTGGTTTTCCTCCTGCCTATCGGACTGCTCCTTCTCCATCTCCTTTGCTGGATCCTCCTCCAGAGTGTGCTCTCTAAGCACAGGTGTCCCTCAGGGTTCTGTCCTGGACCCTCTTTTCTTCTCCTCTATATTACTTGGTGATCTCCATCAGCTTCCATGGACTTAATTACCGTAGCTATGCTGATGATTGTCAAATTCTGCTCCAAACTCTCTGCCCACCTCCAATCTTACATCTCCAACTACCTTTCAGACATTTAGAACTGGATGTACAGGAGACGTCTTAAACAATTATGTCCAAAACAGAACTCATGATCTTTGCCTCCTCAATTCCCCTTCCCTATTACTGTGGAGGGCAACACTATCTTAATTCCTCAGACAGGAAACTTGGGACCTATCCTGGATTCCTCACTGTCTCTCACACCCCCACTGCCAAATACAAACTGTTGCCAAGGCCTGTTAATTTCACTTTGCAACATCTCTCAAATAAACCCCTTTCTCCCCTCTCAAACTGCCACCACTCTGATGCAGGCCCTCATCACTTCACATCTGGACTATAGCAATAGCTGCTGCCTCAGGTCTCTCCCCACTCTAATCCATCCTTCATTCTGCCACTGAAGTGATTTTCCTAAAACTCAGGGCCTGATCATTATCTCCTCGCCCCTGTCCCACTTCTCTCCCTCATCACACATATACTCAAATTACAGTGGCTCCCCATTGCCTCCAGGAACAAACACAAAATGCTCTGTTTGATAACCAAAACCCTCCGTAGTCTAGCCCCCTCCTACCTTCCCAGTCTTCTTACAGCTTCCTTCCCAACACATACTCTTCAATCCAGTGACCTGGCCTCCTGGCTGTTCCACTAACAAGACATGCTATTCTTGGCTCTGGGCATTTTCTCTAGCTGTCCCCCATGCCTAGAATGCTCTCCCTCCCTGTCCCTGCTGACTGGGTTTCCTGGTTTCCTTTAAATCCTAACTAAAATCCCATCTTCTACAGGAAGCCTTACCCAATTCCTCTTAATTCCAACGCCTTCCATCTGTTAATTATTTCCTATTTATCCTATGTTTTGTTTGCTTTGCATATATTTGTTTACACTTTGCCTCCCCACGTGATTGTAAGCTCCTTAAGGGCAGGGAGTAAGAGCACAAAAGCATACAGGCAGTGCTACCAAACAGCTAAAAATCACCCCTCCCAGTCTCCACTAAACTTTTACAGGGAAGTAACCACATGACAGGGTCCACTCTAGCCCTTTTCAGCCACAACCATTTCAGTCTCTTCCAAAGTTCCTCTTCTTTATACATTTCTATCAACTGCTGACATTACACCTACAACCTTTGCCTACTGTTCTTTCTCAAGGACAGCTTCCAACCTTGAGGAATAGTAACGTATTAATTTGAGAAAACATGTTTCTGAACACTGAAATTTTTAAAAAACATGAATCTGATCAATGAACCCAAACAGCAAATTTTCAGACACACAACTTGTGTTTTACAAAAACAGTCCTATCACTACAAACACATCTACATAGTGCTATACTCTGATTCTGAATGCAGATGTTTCCATCCTAAACAATTTTTGGCTATATATGCTTGATTTAAGAAATGCAGTTTCTTAAAACTCCTCCAAATGTCTAAATGCTTTATCTCTCTAATAAAAAAAAACCCCACATATTTTCCTTTACTAATATATAAATTATCCTAGTAAGAAAAGAACTGCCATTAAAAACTCCTGCATCTTGTCTTCTGCTAACATCAATAACTAATGAAACCATAAGTTAGTTCTATTTCTTTCAAGTTTTCTTGAGTTTCAGGAGTTCTTTAACCTTTTCTTATAGCATTAAGCACCTTTGACAATGTCCTTAGATGCAAAAAATACATACTACAAAGAAACGAATTCTCTTAAAATACAATTATGAAACTTAAAAAAAAAACACACACACACATTGACAAACCCAGATTAAGAATCTGCTCTACTGGGACTAAAGTTTGCTGTGAGGGCTCTTGAGCTCTCTGAATTTGATAGTTTTTTGTTTGCTTTTTTTTTTTTTTTGGTGGTGGTGGGGAGGAGGAAGCAAAGCAGCAACAGGCACATAACCATTTCATTAAACAAAGCCCACAGTGGGCAAACCACGCTTTCTTTACTCCATATTCGAATTGTTTCATTTAACAAGTTTGGGGTTTTGTTGGTTTTTTATTATTTTTTTCCCCTAGAAAAGGAGGGGACGTTCAACAAAAAGAGAATTAAACCACTGAATTTCCAGCAATGACAAACCTCCCGGTTTATTGATTAACACAAATCAAGGCAAAGCTGGTGGCACAGGCATGCCCCCTCCTTGGAAACCCGCACATGGTGGACTCCAGTTCAATGAGCCCATTGTCCCCCCAAAAAAAGAAACTGGGGGGGGGCATCTAGGATTGGTCGGGGGAGGGGTCACCAGCCGGTGGCCTCCGCCCACGGAGCCGCACGAGCTAGGCTGGCCGCCCTAACCCCGCCCCCAACCGCCACGGCCGCGCGAGCCCCGCGCCACCGGGCGCCTGGGTCAGGCTCCGCGCGGGGACTTCCCCGCACGCCGGCCCCGCCCCCGCGCTCCCCGCAGCGCCCCCTCCGGCACATACCCGCCTTGCAGACCGGGGAGCTGGGGCTCCTCCTCTCCGGGGAACTGCGGCTCTGCTCCGGGGACCGCCGCGGGGGTCGGACCCGAGCTGTAGCAGGGGATGCGCTCGCGTCGCTCGCCAGAAGATGGATGGGGGACGAGCAGGGGGACGACACGGTGCCCAGGAGCGTCTGGGGAGGCGGTGGCTGTGAGCGAGGAGGACTGCCCCGCGCGCTCGCGCCCCGCGTGGGGCTGGTGCCCCGCGTGGACGTCGGGGGCGCGCCCGTCTGCGTGGCCACCGTGGGGCTGGCGCGAGCACTGGGCCCGCCGGCGCCGGCGCGCGTGGGGCTCGTGCTGCGCGAGGAGGTGCGTGGGACGTTGACGCCGCCTCCGCCGCCACCACCGCCACCGCCGCCTCCTCCACCTCCACCTACTCCTCCTCCGCCGCCGCCGCCTCCTCCTGGGGGTCCCGAACCGCCGCCGCTGTTGTTACCCCCGCCGGCGCCGCCGCCGCTCCGCGTGGGGCTGCCATGTTGCTGCTGCTGCTGCTGCTGCTGCTTCAGCTGGAACGGCACCGTGGCCCTCATGGGCTGCAGGCGGCTCCCGGGGGCGCCCCCGGGGCTGGCGCCGGACGCGGGGCCCGCGCCTCCGCCGAGGGGGGCGGCAGGCGTGGGGGACCCATTGCGCCTCACCCGCTGGGACATGACGCCCCCTCCCTGGGCCGCGGTGCAAGCGCGGGGGGCGGGGAGGCTGCTCCGCAAGGCCCCGAGGCCGCGGGCCGGGCCCCTTCCAGGCGGCTGGAGGCCAGGCAGCCCCTGACCCGTGCAGCCGCCGCGGCCGCCGCTGCTCCTGCCGCCGGCGCTGCTCCCGCTGCTGCTGCTCCCGCGGCGGCGGCGGCTCCTCGCTCCTCATCAACAATAGTGTCGCCGGAGCTGCCCCCGCCCCCCGCGGCCGCCGATTGGCGCCGCGTCAGCCGCGCTGGGGCCCCTCGGCCGCGCCGATTGGTCGCGGGCTAGCTAGGGCCGAGGGTCCCGCGGCCTTAAAGAGACCGGGTCATCCTCTCGCAGCCTGTTGGTCCTCGGCGGCAGGGAGGGGGGCCGGACCCGCCCCTTTTCCTCTTCCCTCCTCCCGTCGTCGCCCCGCCCCCCAGCCTAGTAGTGCGAAAATGTGTGTATGTGTGTGAGTGTGTACGCACGCGCCCTGAGTCGCTTCTACTGTCCAGTGCGGGGGGGCTCCCAGGCCGGGGGTCCGAGGGAGACCGGGCGGGATGGGGGAGGGCGTGGGGTGTAAAGAGAAGGCAAATCCAGCCCGACTCCCGATTAGCGGCGGGGGGCGGGGCATCCCTGGGAGGAGGAGGGTGGGTGCCCGCTGCACCGGCTGCCGGGTGGGGGTGAGCGCCACAATCGAGGCCCAACCCTTCCCTTCCTTACACCGGGACCCAGCTCGGGATGCGCTCCCGCACCTCCAGGGGTTCCCCAACACCCCATCCCCACCCCACCCAAACATCCACAATGCCGTCTTAGGAGCAGCACAAAGGATTGAGCTGCATAAAGGGAGGCTGCAGGTGGTAGGGTGGGAAGAGCTTCACATCCCAGCTCTGTGATCTCGATCAGGTCCCTTATCTTCTCGGGGCCTCAGTTTCCCCATGTATAAATTAAGGGTGTTAGACTACGTGACGTCTGTGGAGAGTTTTTTGTTTGTTTTTCTTCAGTTCTGGGTCTGTGTTCTTCGGAATACCGGTGTCATTAAAAGATCTGCTACCTATGATTAAGGGTTGTGCCCATCTTGGCATTTCCAACTGAATGTCACCTCACATCCTCAACATGTCCAAAACAGCTTGTTATCTTTTTACCACAAAAGCCACCCCTCTCTATAACTTCCCTATTTCTATGGATGGTACCATCCTCCTTCCAGTCACCTCGATGTTGTTCAACCTCGAAGTCTTCCTTCTTCCTTACCAGATGTAACTAACCAGTTGCCAAATCTTCTCATTCTGCCTTTGCAACATCTCTTGAATCCTCCTCTTCTCTCTACTCACATGGGCAACCACCCTAGTTCAGGCCATTATCATCTCACCTAGACTATTGTAACAGCTTCCTAACTGTTCCCCCATCCTCAAAGTCTCTCAACTCTTCAATCCGACCTCCATCCAACTACCAAAGTGATATTCCTTTAAAAGAAGCCTGATAGTGTTGCTCCCTTGCACAGTGAACTCCAATGTAAGATCAGATACGAACCCTACTGTTTGGTATTTAAAGGTATTTAAAGGACTCATCAACTAGGATCCAATCTACCTTTCCAGGATTATTATATATTATTCCCGGTCACTTAACCCAGAGTCCAACCAAACTGACCTCCTTGCTCTTTCTTACACACAACATTCCATCTTCAGTCTGTGTTTACAGATGGTCCTCTGTTCCTGGAATGCACTCCATCTTCATCTTTATTTCTTCAGTTTTCTAGTTCCCTTCAAAGCTCACTTCAAATTTTGCCTCATTCTATTCTCTATGCCTGGTGCCCTTCAACCCCTTGTGGAAATGGTCCTAGTTGTAGTCAGAAGACCTGGGATTAAACTCCAGCTTGGTCACTTAGTCTCTGTGTAACAAGACAAGTCACACCTGAAGCTCTTATTAAACTTCTTAGTTCCTTTTATCTTCATGCAAAAATTATCTCACTTTTATTTTATGTATAATTTGTGATATATGTGTACATGTGGACTTTCTGATAAAATGAAATCTGGATGAGAGAAGGGACTTTCATTTTTGTCATCTCATCTCTAGCAACTAGTACATAACAGGTACTTAATTGTTTACTGATTGATTATGACCCCATAGATGCTTCTGATCCCACAAGTCCACTTAATAAAAGGTGATGTAAGATGTTGACCAATATGTCTGAAGGCCTGACAGGTAAAACAATACCCTAAAACTCTCCCTTCAAATTTTACCTCATCCCTTCCTTTGGATTTCACAGAATCATGAAGTTTTTGGGGTACCTAAAAGGTCATCTAGTCCAGTCTCCTAATTGTATAGGTCCAATACCATCCCACAAGTATTTATTAAAGGCCTGTCATGCACAAGATGAAAGCATGGTATAGTGCAGAAGTTTCAAAGGTTTCCAGCAGCCCACAGAACTCCCTAGTGCAGCCTGAACCATATTGAAATATTTAGCAAAATACATTAAAAATATAATACAAGGTAAATAATGTTAATTTTTGTTTTCTAAGTCAATATGCAGAGATAGAGATCTGTTTCTGTTTGACACCAGTGGATAAAATGTGGGCTCAGAGTCAAGAATTCTAGGTTTAAGTCCAACCTTTGACACATACTAGCTTCTTGACCTTAGATCATCAGGCAGCTCTTATAGAGACTCTAAACTAACGACCAATTGTGATAAGTATTGGTGGACAGAATTTCAACACTAGAAGGTCCCTTTACTAATAAAACCATAGTTTCTAGCGAAAACAAAATACGGACAATGCACTGAGCAAGATTCTGAGATACAAAAATAAAATAACAGACCCTATCCTCAAGAATCTTTCATTCCCTCTGTAGGTATATAATATGTAAACAGGTAATGATAAGTTCATACATAATAAGTTGAGGATAAATATATTGTGACCCTAAGTGGTAAAAATGCTTCTTCCCTGTCTCTTGATTGCTAGTTCATCTTCCTGCTATGGCGTCCTATCTCTTTGCAAGATTCCAGAACTAAAAATTGTGTAGCCATCAGTAAACTGAGTGGATAGATGTAAGATGCTTGGAAACTATTAATCAGCTGATCAAAATGAATGCATCCAATTATTGATTACTCTGGAAAATTACTCAAGTATTTTGCTAATTAGTATACACAGATACAGTCTAAAGTCTCATTTTCACCAGTAGTTAATAAGCTCTGTAAGGGTAGGGACAGTACCTTATTTGAATTTAGTATCTTCCTGATTCAGAGGCTGCATTGAGTGCATAGTCATCTGCAAACAGAAAATCATGCACCAACGCTCCCTCCACTTTGGTCTTGGCTTGTAGCCTTTTCAAGCCTGAATTTACCATCAGTGCAATATCTGACCTTGATGCCGTATTCATCCTCATTGAAAGCATTTGACAACATGGCTGAAAAGGTCATGCTAAAAAGCATGGGAGCAAGCACACAGCCTTGTTTCACTTCGTTGGTGACTGGGAAAGCACAAGAGCATTGTCCATCATCCAGAACCCGGGCAAGCATGCTGTCATGAAATTGATGAAATTGATCCATAAGCTCTCGTGACTGCCAGTATCAAAGGCCTTGGTCAGATCTGCAAACATTGTGTCCAGATGTCTGTTCTGTTCCTGGCATTTCTCCTGGAGTTGTCAGGCAGCAAACACCATACTGACTGTTCCTCGGCCTTTTTTGAAGCCATGCTGGCTCTCAGGTAGATGACCATCTTCCAGGTAAAGAATCAGCCTGTTAAGGAGGACTCTGGCAAGAATTTCACCAGCAATGACTAAGAGAGAGAGCCCCCCCACCCCACTGTGATTGTCACAGAACAATCTATTTCCTTTACCTTTATAGAGATGAACAATGGAGGCATCCTTGAACTCCTGGGGGATAACCTCTTCTTGCCATATAACCTGGAAAATTTCACTCAGCTTGTATGAGCAATGAACCCCCCACCTTGTAAATCTCAGCTGGAACAGAATCAGCACCAGGTGCTTTGCCACAGGAGAGGAGCCTAATGGTATTCCAAACCTCTTCTTCAGTTGGACCTTCAGCTACAGAGGGATTGATTTCAACCTGGGGTGAACAGCCAGTGGCCTCAGCGTTGATTGATGATGGTCTGTTGAGAACACTATGGAAGTGTTCAGCCCATTTCTCTAGGATCACGTCCTTATCCCTAATCAATGTGGCTCTGTCAACACTGAGTAATTGAGATGCATCATAAGTCTTTGGCCCGTAAACAGCCTTCAGGGCATCATAAAAATGCTTTGGATTGTTAGTATCAGCATAAAACTGAATTTCATCTGTCTTCTTACTGAGGCAAGAATCCTGTATCCCTCCAAGCTTTGCTTGGGCTTTTCTTTTGGTGGAATTAAATGCTGCCTTCTTAGAGATGGATGAACTATACTGCTCGTAAACTGTTGAGTGCTTGTTTTTTTCATTTAGCAGCTTCTGAATTTCATTTTCATCAAATCAGTCCTGGTGTTTGTGAGTGTTCTGGCCCAGATGAATACACGCAGTGCTGTACACCAAATCTTTGAAAGCTGCCTACTCCTTTTCTGCTCCCCTGTTGCCAATTGTGTGTTGGCTCAACTTTCCCTCCAAGTTAGGAACAAAGTGTTCTAGCTCAGAGAAGAGCTCTAATCTGTTGACATTAACTCTTCTGGTAGTCATTTTGTCTTGGGGATGCCACTTTTGTTGAATGTGAATATCTATGATCAGTCCAGCCCTCTGCACCACACATTGCCTTCATCACTCTCACATTCTTTCTGGCTCTTCTCCTTACAATCACACAATGTTTGCTGTGAGGGTTTATCTATGAAGTTTTTTGGTTTTGGGGGGGCTTAGGTTTGTGTGTGTGTGTGTGTGTGTGTGTTAGGTTCTGAGGTGCAACAAAGTATGGATCAGTTCTCTGCTGCTTGTGCTAATTTTGGTCTAACAACAAACAACAGGAAAACACAGGTGCTTCATCAGCCACTACCACACCATCCATTGGTAGAACCATTGACTG